CATTTTAAACATTAGAAAATCATTTGACATCGCATAATAAAAAATATAGAAAACTGTAAATGATATATGTTTTTTTAACATAGTATTAGCTGCAATTTTAATTATTAATTCTTTGAATTAGTATTTTGATAGATTCAATAATTGATTTAATTTTTAATATATGAAATTTTATCTCTCAATAAAAATAACATAAATGATTGAATTATTGTTCATTAGTAACAATTGTAAAATTATAATAAACATTCGTTACTTCATTTTCTTAAAATCTTTCTCTTGATCCAAGCAAATTGTATTTTAGATATGTAGATTTTTTCTCAACTATATATGTGTCATATCAATTTTAGTCAAAGTAAAATATTCTTTATTGTTCCATTTAATTGGATGCTATCTGTAGAGATATTTTCTCACACAATAGATGAAGTTAAAAAAAATATATATGTGTGACTTATGAATTATACTCTTTTCATTAAAAAATGTAAAATATTTTTTGAAGAGTTTGGCCTTAAAAAATATAAGATATTTTTAATATTTTAAAGTGTACTCATTGTTTTTTTTAAAGAGCGCCAGATAAATAATTATTTTTGTATTTATTTTACAATAAAACACCCTATCAAAGAGAGGTATATATAAAAGAATAGTGTTAATTAGAAGACAAATAACTATTTTATTGCGGGTAAGATTTGGTTAAAAATGCCTAAATTTATAATTTATTGATTTTGTTTAAAATTTGATAGAATGCTTAACATGTTTTTTTTTTATGTATTTAATATAAGATCTAACAAATGATTTACATTGTGGATGATTTATAAATCTTGATAAAATATTGATATAGCTATTAAATGTTCAATATTGTCATCTTTAAAGTCCAGCTCAATCAAGATAGATGTTTTAATAAACTCAATTCATTAAAAATATAGAATATTTTAATTAAATTATACCTCTAACAAGTTACTTGATTGCCTTGGCATTGATATCATCTTTTTATACTTATCCTTATTTAGTAAGGCATCTTATTTAAAATAAATGATTAAGTGATTTATTTATTAAAAGTATTTTTTTAAAAAAAAAGTCATTAATCACGCATTAAAAAACTTAAAATAGTATATATATTTAATATTTAACTTAAAGAAATTTTTCTAAAGGGGGGAGTAATTTTTTACTTATGAGATTTGAGCCCGTGAGTTGTTGTGTAAATAACCCGAAGCATGAATGAATGATACAATATCTTTACACATAATGAATGATTGAAGGATGATAAATAAGGAGAAGTCGCTTTTGCAGAATCTTCCGCACTGTATCCCTATCGCCTTTCTTGGCCTTCCCCATTTCTATCCATTTTTCCCCCCTCCACTTCAATTATTTTTGAAAAAAACACTACAAAGTCCCCGATAAAAATTCTAATCATCACAAAATTATAAACTACTCTCAGTCCTCATGGCCCTTGTTTGTAAATATATTTCAAGCATAATTATCAAAATACTCTATTTTATTTTATGAAAAACTTATCTCATCAACAATTTGTGGCCACAGTTTCGGCAACCAATAATAAAACCCGACCAGAGTTTTCTGGTTGGTGATTGGTGGCTGGTCAGAGCTCCAGCCACTAGTGATGAGTGTGTTAAGTTTTTTTTTTTAAAAAAATATAATAAGAATATATTTGATAATTATACATAAAAAACATACTTACGATTATGGGATTTTCAAGGACAAGAGTAGTTTATTTATTACTTGTGATTAGAATCTTTGAAGGATTTTGCAGTGATTTTCTTATTATTTTTTAGCTTTAATTTTAAATTTGAGAAAAATCGTATCTCGCTCGAACTTGTTCTTTTCCTTTTGACTGTTGAGTTTCTTCGCTATTATTATGTAAGTTAAAAATTCAGATTGAGTTGTCAGGGTCGCAAAGCAATCTTTGAAAGTGAAATAGTACTTACCCCTATATTATTTTAAAAATTTAAATAAAACTATGATACCTTCCAAATTCCACTTTAAAATGATTAATTAGCTATTAGCCCAAGTCTCATTTCACATCTGAAATTATTGCAGCAGATGCTTTCCTTGCAAAATCAATTGACGATAGATGTTTGGTTAACATATGTAGTTGTTGCAAGTGAACAATTCACATTTACACTCAATTCAACACCATAAAGTCTTTCAAAAGTTGGTGCGATCAATTAGATAACAATGTTTTGAAAAAAGTAATATTTTTAATCTCCATCCTAAGTTATAATTGAACTCATGACTATTTTATGTGTACCTGATTTTTGAAATGATGACACTACTGGCTGTCACTCTCTCTCCCCTCCATTAGCTAATACTATTTCATTTTCTAGTATAAGAAAAATCATCACGTTTCTTTTTATTTTGTTTCTCTTTATTTTTATTTATAAGTAAAATTAAAAATTTCAAAAAAAGTCATATTTGTCATATTTTTTTAAAATTATCTTTTACAGAGTCAATATTTATTTTTACTCAAAAAATTTATTTCATTAATTACGCTATTACTAGAATAATTTAGTCCAATTTTTAATTTTTTAGACATAATTATGACACTTAACTAATTTTTTAATTATGAATTTAGTTATTTTTTCTTATATTTAAAAACAGATGAGGTATGGTAGTTTATCATTTGTAAATCATACATCAGTAGTATATGTTATTTAATTTTGTCAGGCTTTGGCCCAAATAATTATATAAGCTTAAATTTAAATATTATCGAATCTAATAAAACAAGTCAGCTACCATGAAATTCACAATCACTTACACCTTGTGAATCGTGAACATGGTTTATTAATTTTTTAGGTTAATTATATAATAAAAAGACAAAATTTAACATCTAATCTTAAGTCATAAGCATACTACTTGAAAATGAGTCATGAGAGGAAAGAATGGGACTTAAAAAGGTGTTGTTTATTTGTCATATGAAAATTTTATAGAGAAATTTTTAAACAGCACTACATCATTTGTAGTTCATTTAATAAAATTATACTAATTTAATTAAATAAAATTTTACGTGTCATTATTTTTATAATTTTATTTTATAAAAATATCTATTTAATTTTTCATATTTTCTTCTTCCATTGTCATTAATATTAAAATTAATTTATATGTAATATTTTTATTAAATAGACCATGGATAGTGTGATACACAAGCTCTATATAAATTTTTTTCAAATTGTATAATATATAGACTATATATAAAAATAATAATTGATTAATGAAGATTTTAATAATAACTAATGGGTACAAAATATCTTTTAAATCCCAATAGAATAAATTTAAGTAGATAATATCTCAAAAGAATGAATCCAAATAGACTGTAACACATCTCCCAAACTCAAATTGCCCTTGAGCTTTATTGTTTGATGTCAAAAATAAATGTCTCGTGCCACTAATTACGTGTCTAAGTAACAAATGTCACTTTCTTACTGGCGTGAGATTCAGAGTTCGACCTTGCATTGACACGTAAATATGCCTAAGTTGTAAATACTAAATCGGGATTATGTTCAAAAAATACATAAACTACTGGTGATGTGGGTCCTGGGTGCATGGAAGATATGTGGGATGATGAAGGAGCCAGGTGTCGCTACCAGAAATGGCGAGAAGTGATGCTTCTGATCAGATCTCAGAAAATAAGTAATCACATAAAAAGTTGGATTAGATAGCACGACGTCTTTCTCCGCCACTGTGTTTGTTTGTACCCAATTCTCACACATTATTCGTATTCTTTTAATTCCATTTTTTCCTTAAATAACATCACTTTCATTGCATATTCTTTCAGCGTGCACACTACATAACATGTAATCTACAATATCAGTTTTATGATTCCAGGTCAAAAAATATATTATTATGATCAATACGCGTGGTTCATTTTTCAGTTTGTGCATTGACTTGGGCTCTTCCAACTAAATTTTAATGTGCATATTCAGACTCCAACTAATTTTTAATATGTATAATAAAAAAAAATTAAACACATGCCTATTTGTAAAATCGAATTTTACATAAACTAGAATTTACAAATTAATTCGAAGAGATTTATCATTTGTTCTAAATATTTTGAGAGAAATAATCCCTGCTGTCAACGGAGTTACTGCTCGTACCTAAAAATAAAAAAGAATTTGCAAATTAAAATTTTGGCAAAAGCTTATCAAAATTACTCTATGTTCCTAAATGCAATTGAGTGCATAAGTAATCTAAATATAAAGGAAATTATTTCAACCAATTTTTGCATTTTCCGACTTTGTTTTGGATTATTATTGATTAGTTCAAATCTAAACATTGTTTGAATTTGGAAAGAAATAAAATTGAATTAAATGAGTTGACAAATAATGAAATAAATAAAAATGGTCATATGTACAATGATAAAAGAGTATGAATGATCATTTTTTTTTGAATTAACAGACATATGCTGACAATCTATTAGGTTAGGATTGAACTCAAGGCCTTTAATTTATTAAAAAGGTTTACATGCCTCTGAATTGCATGTCTATCCATCCATCGTGACTAATGATCATTCTATGACTCTCATTTTGTAGTAATTCCTAGCTCTTGATTGATTTATCCTTATATTTTATTTTCCATGAATACATTTTAATTATATTTCATTAAAACGGATTGATTATTTTGACCTCTACTAAGAGGCATAGGGCCCATCCTAGTTGTTGTTATTGTTGTTGTTATGCATTATATTATGTTCATTGTAAAATACTGCGGAATAAATATTAAACTACGCACCCTCGCACATTACACTAGCCTTCGGGCGTGACTGTCAAATCTACATATTCTCCTCTCCCTCTCTCCCTCCCTCTCTCTTCCCTCCATTCTCAGAGTTCCGCAGACCTCTAGTTCTCCGGAGATTCGACTCAATCGCCGATCTCCATCACCCTCCTCCTCGGGAATCCCTTGTCTTCCTCCTATGCTAACATGTTCCAGATTTTCAAGGTACGAAATTCCCTTTTTTTTATGGCAACTCTGATACACACTCTAATATAAAAATTATTAGCCACTTAATTTAATCATGAAAACTCAAGTTTTCTTACTCTCCTTGCGTCCTTTTCTGCTGCTTCGGCCCTTTCTTCCCTTTTTTCCCCCCTTCTCCAGAGATCTTTACAGCTTAGGGGTTGGGATTTTTCTTATTTTCTCGTTCGCTGTTCTCGTCAAATGTTTCTTTTTTTTTTCCTTTTATCTCCAGCTAATTTCTGGTCGCTACTTAAAGGAATTTTTGCTCCTGCAAGTGCGAGATTTCCAGTACGGTTTCAGTGTTCGAATTCATGACACAGTCCTTTTTTCTCTCGCGCAATTTCTGAGTCTTGAGTAATTGCCAATTTCAGATTGCTAAACGGCTTTTGGTTGTATTCAATGTATGCTCTCAGAATTTGAGCAATGCTATTTAATTTCGGGTCTGGACAGCTATTATTATTTCCGTAATTTTGGTCGAAAAGGGTTAATAATGCTGTCTCTGAACTGATGCAGTACACCTTCGTGCTTCATCTTCTCTGCATCATTCTTTTTCTTTCTTTCTTTCTTTGTTTTTTTTGCCCTGTTGGGGGTCTATGAGATTCTCCATTGGAACTCTGTGCTTTAGTTTAGGTAGGTATTTCTTGAGTACATTAAAAAAGGTTCCCTTTTAAGGAAATGGGATCTGCTTTTTCCCATCTCATCATAAATTATAATAACATGATCAATATCCATAACTGCAACAATAATAATAGCAACAACAACAGTAAGACTTCCATATTAATATCTCAATAATAATGAAGCAAGGAGGGGGGGAGTAGAATTTATATGCTTCTTATATGATCTGATCCCTCTGGAAAAGCAACTCATGGGGGTCATGATTTCTACTACATCCCTTGTCTCATCTGCCCAAATGCCTTAAACAATTCAGATGCTGCTCATGTTTTGTCTTTCTGTTTTCATTAGTGCAGGCATGTACAGATAAGAGGATATGATTATGGCCGAATTAAAAATTCAAAAAAGCTACTAAACTATATAGATTTCTGCGCACTGTTTCTTATCTTTGGTTCTTTGTTTCTTTCTTTGTTTTCCTTTTCTCATCTCCTTCTGATGCAGGACTGCTTCTTTCTGACTTGATCGATTAAGCTTTTGACTCGGAAAAAAGAATGGAGGGTGACATATTCTCTGGTCTAAACAATGGTACAACACAAGTCGATGGCAAGATCTTGCAGACATTTAAAAAGAGCTTCGTTCAAGTGCAGAACATCTTGGATCAGAACAGGCTTCTCATCAACGAGATAAACCAGAATCACGAGTCCAAGATCCCCGACAACCTAAGCAGAAACGTGGGTCTTATTAAAGAGCTCAACAACAACATCAAAAGAGTGGTTGATCTTTATGCTGATCTTTCAAGCTCCTTCACGAAATCCATGGATGTTTCATCCGAGGGAGATTCTAGTGGTGCTCTAAAATCTGACGGGAAAGCGGGACACAAGCGACACAGGCCTGCATAGTGTTTGCTTCTTTTTCCTTATTATTTTGCTTGGTGACTGAAGATGCAGAACGAGCAAGCAACAACACAAATTGCGTCGAGTTGAGGGTAGAACTAAGATTAGATTCTGTATCTGATACTCTGATCTCTTGTTGTCAAGAAAAATAGAAAAAGATTGATGATTTTCCAGAATCCCTCTCTCACTGTAACCTTGTAACTGTGGATCTAATGGAAATTCCAGCAATGTTTGTGGTACTACTAATTTAGTTTCGCTTCTGTTGTCCCAGAAGAAAAATAAGAATGTCTTTTCTCCTCCATTTAAGGTTCATCATGTGATGGAATATAATGCTACTGTTGTGCTTTTGTTCATTTGTCTATCTCTTCCTTGCACACAACTTGATAGCAAGAGATAAGGCTTTTAGCTTCCATAAACTTTTTCTTCGCGTCAAAAGGGTCTTCATAAGCTTTTGATGGGAACTACTCTTCATCAAAAAGCCTTTATTCCCTTTTTTTCAACTTAAGCTCTTAAGTTTTTGTTGTGACTCCTTAGATCTTACTTTAACAGAGAACTGAAAGTGAGAGAGAAGGGATTGCAGATACTGTTTTAGTCTCTTTTCTCATGTAAACAGTGCGTCTGTTCTTTTTTACCTGGAAGTACTATGCCTGATATTTTATTTCCTTGTTCCTGAGTGTCTTTGCGGGGAAGAGAAGTGCATAGTTTCTCACATAATGTGTGAGAAGATGCTCTGAAACAATTGGAAGAAAGCAGCTTTAGATAAATCTTTTTGGTTCCCAATCGCACACCACCACAGAAACAGAATCTCAGATGAGGGATGATGCCCTTTTTGACTAAATTATGCATAAATGTATTGTAATACTAAATGGCAATGACAAGCTTTGGATGGTATTGGACAAGGGGGAAAAACAGAGAAAAAAAGTAATGAATGATAATGGGTTAGAACAAAACACAAGAAGAGTAGTGTCAAGAGACAGATATGAGTGAACAGTGACTCCCAACAACATGACACGGGCCCCAGAGGTTCTCTTTTGGGAGGAACTCAGCATCTCCATGCTTATCCCTTTCTTTTACTCTTAGGTTCTTCTCTTTTTTACTTTTCTGTATTGTTTTTTTACTCCTTATATATATATATATATATATATATATTATGCAATGAATGCCCTGTATGACAACCTTGATGATTCTCATGTTTCAAACCTCTCTCTCTCTGATTGTGGAGATGTCTTTGTTGGTGCAGCCAGGTGTATGGCAGCCAAATTTCCTGATCTCAGGAGAGAGAGGCCCGCATGAGTGATTGCTGAAAATGAATGCAAAATGAAAACTTTCTGCTTCTGATTTTTCTTGAGGGAGAAATCACCTTTTTACTCCATCAGCTCATTTTATTTGGTATTTGATAAATCGGTGAATTTTAACTTTTTATATATTATTTATTAATTTAATCAAATACTCCCTCTAGTGTCATTTATAAATTATATTTTAAAAAATTTATTTAATTTTATTTATAAATTACGGTGACTTACTAGATAATATTTAAAAATATTTTTAAAATTATTTTTCGTGAGATAAAAAATAATATAATATTATTTTTTAAATTTATTATATAAAAATATATTTAAAATTTTACTCACTTTTACTTTTTATATTTTTTATTAATATTAATGAGGTAGGTATTAATGATTTATAAAAAAAATGAAGGAGTATTTTTTTTTGTATTGCTGGAGCAAAAACAAAAAAGCCCGATCGTGCAGAATTGGGAATTCTCTGATTGTGCACGTTTTTTTAAGCAATATACTTCGTTGAAAAAGTTGAAACTGGGAATGTGAAACGATTGTGTTTGATAAACAAATAATATTTAAGTTGATAAATTATTAAATAGGTTATATTTTAAATTATTTTTTTCTCAAACGTATGGTGCATAAATGCATATGACATAAATTTCCGAAAACATGATTCCACATGTACAAAATTTGAATCCAAAACACTGCATAAATTTAGTATTCTGCTGACAGAACAGGTATTTTTATAAAACTCTGGTCTCTCAGAATGCGTGCCATTTCTTTTCATTCTGGCGTTCTCGTGCAGCACCAGCACTGCAGGCACGGCGGTAAAATCTAAATCTAAGTGGTTAGTAACTATTCATTAACCAGTAAAGAAGATTAGGGGAAAAAAAAAACAAAGAAAGAAAGGAACAGAATCAGCGTGAAAGAAAAAGTATCCCACTCTTTTTAATAATACTTAAAAACATGCACATGTTGAAGCTTATGCTCCAGGAAAAAGACAGGTGCAGAATCAAAATCAAAATCAGAACAAGGTTGGAAGTGAAGTTAATGGCTTAAAATGACAAGGTCTTGTGCACAGAGATGAAGAGAGAAAGAGTGAGAAAGGATGGGCAAAAGAAGGAAAAAAGGAGGTGGGGGGACCAAAAAAATAAAATAAAAAATAAAGTCACTTTCATGCAAAGACGCATGAAAGATGTGAGAAGCTCTTCATTCAGAGTAGCAGAGAGTTTATGGACTAAACGACTTTATTATAGATAACACTGTTATTCACTCCAGTACAAATGGTAAACAATTAAATTTGTATTTTGATATATTTAATAAAATATTTTATTAATGACTAATTTGATTACGATTTTGGCCATTATTCCTTTTGATCCAATATATAAACATTTTCTCATAATTAATCTTAATTTAAATTATGAACAACTTAATATTTATAAAAGAAATTTATCATTTTAACATTTGTATTTATTAATCCGGATTCTTGTGCCTTGAGTTTATAATCTTTGTGCTTATAATAAATTAGAACCATGGGTACATAATTTCATGAGAATAAGAATTTTATTAATATAAAAATTATTATTAAAAGTTGCTTATATTTTGAACCGAAATGAGTGATTTTAAAATAATGCCTAGACTGATTAAATTTTCAATACTTTGATCTTGCCCAACCCAAGGAGTAGCTCGTTATATTTGATGGGCTAAATAATGTGTGATTAAATATTGTGTCACATGAATCTTATCAGCCGCCAAGAAGGGTGGAGCATGAATAATGAATAAATAAAGGGAGGCGCATGAGGATATATATATATATATATATATATATATATAAGAGAATAGCATTTATAGGGAACACTAGTTTGAAGTAGCAGCGAAGCATGCCTTGTTTGCGGCAATGATCAAGGGGTTGGAAAATGAATGAGATGTGTGAATATTAAAAGAAAAGGAACAAGCCAAGACAAAATAAACGTTGGTATGGAACATAACATGTGGGTGAGGGAATCTGCTTTTGGAGCTTCTTTCACTTTGTTGCTTGCATTTTCAGAAAGTAATTTTAAAACTAGCTCCCCTCTAATAAGTCTACCATGCCCAATTCCAAACTTGTTTTGTTTTAGTAAGTACTCCCTCCTTCTCAATTTATATAATATTTTTGCAGGTGATTCGGTGTTTCGATGTACAAAAATTGAAATTTTATTATTTATATTTGTTCCAATATTACCTTTTCCTCTTTATTATATTCTTTCCCTATTCAATGGTTCACAAATAAAATTATATTAAATGAAGGTTGTAAAATATATTTAATAAATTTTATTATTAATTATTTATATTTAATTACTTGAATTGTTTTAAAATTCTTTCATAATTATATTTAGTTTTGAGGATATTTTGATTGAAATGGATATATTTGCAAAGTATTTATGGTACCCAAATACAAATAATCAAATGACCCTTTGTTTAAAAATATAAGACATTTTTAATTAAATTTTACTTTCAATAAAGTAGTTAATTGTTTACAAACTAACATCATCTTTCTATATTTATCCTTATTTAATAAAATATTTTATTTTAAAATAAATATAAAGTGATTTATTTATTATGTCACTTTTGGGAAAAAACACTTTAATTATACTTTGAAAAACTAAAAATACCTTATTTTTTTTAACATTTAAATATTTTAAAAAATGTCTTATATTTTTTAATGAATAGAGTAAGGTCTAATAAATAAATAGTATAATAACTTTTTATAATAAGAAGAGTCTCTATAGAATTTATTTCTGAAAACAAGAAAGTTCATTTTAATACTATATAGGCAATAAATGCACCTTTATATTAATATCAACATGAAATATAACAATCAATAACAAGTAATGTTGGTGCAACCATCCAATCCATGAATCAAGTAAAAATATATAGTGTGACTTGTTTGTAATCTTTGCATATGTAAGGAAAAAACTTGTCTAATTGTTCAAATTTAAAATAATATAACTTTTAGCCCACAAACTTTTTCTTAATTATCACTTTAATCATTGAGCTTTGATTGGTATAACCTTGTCATTGTAGTTTATTGTTACGCTCTGCAAATGTATAGATTATAGCAAGTAATACAAGGTGAGTAGAGTATCATTCCCATGATTTTTTTTTTTAAAGTATGATCAAACAAAGGACATTGTGAATTCAAATAAGTAAAGCGACATATAATTAGGTGAAGTTGATTTTGTAAGCTAAATCAACACTAAAAAATAAAGAAAAGATAATGATTCAAGACTTTTTAAAAGTAATTAGGCTTAGAATTATTCATCTCCCTTTATACCTCAAAAATATTCAATTAAGCCCCAATATACTTTGCTCTTGATGATAAATTATGCTAATCAAGGATATTAAATTACCCACAAGCACTTTCTCAACTCTCGATGTAGGTGTTTAGTTTAATTAATCTCTCAATTGATTAATTAATTAAACTTTAATTTTCCTTATGTGATTATGTGAGATTAATGAATGTGTTTCCACCTCATTAACAAAATCATCTATTCAACTTGCAAACTTCAAGTTCTCACACAATTTAACTCAAGTTTTGCACTCAACTCAACTTAACTCTCTTGAGCATTAATCAAATGAACCTAACAATATAATTGATGGTCAGTCAACTAGAAGCATTAAATATGGAGTAAAATCAACACAATCACATTATTAATCACAAATACGAAGAGAAAATGAGTATTTAATCCATACAAAGGGTTCAAAGTAATCATAGAATCAAGGGTTTAGCTATACATGTTCATAAAACCCATCAAAAAATACAAATATAAGCACAAACATTGAACAAAAAGAAAAGAAGGATAATGGAGAAGAAGAACCAAGATATGAAGACAGAATCTATTTCAATTTTCAAACCCAAGCTCAATCTCCTCAAAAATCCATGCCCTAATACACCTAAAGCTCCAAAACACTCCCAAGAAGTCTAAAATGTCAACCAAAATTGAGAATGTGTCATATACAAAACCCTAACTTTATCAGATAAATAAAATGTTTCATTTTGCTATCGTGCCGAAAGTCCTGACTTTGGA